GTCGGATTGTGAGCTATTGATTTATAATAGAAACAGTTCACAAACCCCAAATCTCTAGCAATCTACCATTCTATCAAATGCCTAATTCATTTGACATTTAGTTTCACTTAGCTCATGAACCACAGATGAGAGCCTATTTTCTTCCAATGACAGGAGTGTTCATAAGAAATTATAAGCTCCATAATTTTTTTCTGGTGACAAAAATACAAAAAAACTAGCTGTTACAGCTTGTATCTAGATGCCCCCCCAAAGCCTCATGCAGTCACAGGAGGGGGCTTTTTGGAGGTGGCTGGATCTAGGATGTGTGACACTGGGATCAAAGATGCAATTCTAGGATTAAAGGCATGAGTGCTATCACCCTAAGGGTGGGTAGCCTGGGTAAGATATAAAGGACAAAAAGAGGCTTGTCTGTGGTTACTTGTAGCTTATAGTTTGCTGCCTTCTGCCTTCTGCCTTCCGTGAACTGTTTCTCTTCTGCAATGCCCCTCTCCCATGCCACCCTGCCTTGGGGCTGGCCAACTATGAACTGAAACCTGTACAAAGTATGAGCTAAATAAATCTTTCTTCTTTTAACTTTAGATATTGGGTATTTTGTCTCAGCAATGAGAAAAGTAACTAAGACACTAGTTAACAGGAAGAAAAGTTGAGTTGAGCTAGACTTTAAGGATATAAATTCTGAGCAGATTAGTTGGCACATATAAATTCTACATAAGACCAATACTTTGCATTCAGAAAAATCACCTGGGGAGTGCCTATCAGTGCAAATTGCAGAGAAGTTTGATTTCGTAGAAATAAAGTAGATAACTGAATTTTTTAACAACTACCCTAGCTGGTTCTAATGTGAATAACTCTGAGATAACATTTGGGTGTCAGGATTTCAAAACTCCAAGCTCTTACCTAAGCCTTCCTTTGAGTCTAAATCAATATATATTAAACATAATAATGCATGTTTAATTCAAGTAATCACATAAGATGTAACAAATAGGGAAATTCAGTTCACTTAATCAGTCTAAATAGGGTAAATAAAAGCTGAGAAAATTGATTTATATCATGAGTTACTATCCTTCAGAACTGGGAGACACAAGAAATAAAAAAAGTGATTCTGTGTAGGCTTTGCCTTTATTCCTTTGAGAGTATATATACAACATTGAAGTTGTCTACTTTTAAAATATTAAATATGCTCAAAAGTGTGTGTGTGTGTGTGTGTGTGTGTGTGTGTGTGCATGCATGTGTGTGTAATAGCGATGATGCATCGCTAAGGGTAGGGTGAGAGTTATTTTCTGGCCAACAGCAATAATCAGAAAAATATAATTCAGAGGTTCATACAAAATAAAACTAAATAGCATCCCTATTCCTGATATTAGGATTGTAATTTCATGATTCCCACTGCAAACAGGAAGGAAGGAGGGAGGGAGGAAAGAAAGGGAGGGAGGGAAGGAAGGAAGGAAGGAAGGAAGGAAGGAAGGAAGGAAGAAAGGAAGGAGAGAAAGAGGGAAAGAAAGAAAATTAATTGTGGACAAGCTGAACATGTGTGTAGCATTGTCTAATTAATAAAATTTCCAGAGAACTCAAATACTCTTATCCTCACCTCCTTTTGGGAAACTAGAACATGCCTAGGTTCTGGGTTTGCAGGCTTTCTGAGTCATATATTATAAAAAGCATACTATCTCTCAATCCATAAACCCATAAAAGGTGCTCTGGCATATTACATACTTAATGACTTGGAGGCTTTGAACAACTTATTCAAGTCCCTGAGCTAAGGCTCAGCTTCTTCAGCTATAAAACAGGTACCCAGATCAATCTTGTTAAACACAAACTCCTGAGACCAAGAGATCTCTGAAATAAAAGGATTCATTGAGCTATTACAGATGCTGTCAGGAACAGAAATGAACAGTCAGGTCCTGGAACAAGGTTTTGCAGCTATCAGCATGGAGGCCAGGTAATAGTTGCAAAACATCTGCTAGATCTAAGAAGTATTAATATTTTATAATAAAGTCATGGGGAAGGAAGGCACAAATTACACTGAACCTACACTGGCTATTGAGAAGAAGAGTGAGATTACCCCCAATCAAGCTTTAGGACAGGAAGACAATGCATAAGGAGAAGCAGTGATTACCCTGGGCTTGGCTAGACCTGAAGCAGGGTGCAGTAGCATCTAGGGCAGTGGTGGTAAACCTATGGCAAAGGGGCCACAGCTGGCTGTTCTCACTGAAAGCTTTAAAAGGTCCCCTATCACCGATCTAGGGCGTCACAACATATATGCAAGATCGCAAAAAGTCTTTTGTTCTTTTTGGCTTGTAATTTGCTGTTGATTAATTTCTCCCCATCTCTCTTTCTATCCCTTGGTCCTTTGTGAGTAAATGTAGGACATCTCCGAACTGTTCTCTTATCAATCTCTATTCATGGTCTAGGCTCTTTCCACTCAGCCATGACGCTTCCCACACCACGGTGCCTAACTGAGGTTTATGTGGGAGGATCACATGAGATAATTTTTGTAAAAGTGCTCTGTAAGCTGTAAAGCACCATACAGATGAAGCGGATTATTATTAGTCTTTTATGAAACCCAGCCATAAAGATGCAAAGTGACCCAGAAAATGAAAACAGGATAGGCAAACCTGAAATACAACATCTACAGAGCCTAGCACATGACCTCACATACATGGTAGTAGGTGCTTAGGAAGAACTGAGTAAAGAAAAACACAAAATGAGTTTGCGCCTGCCTCCACCATGTTAGGTCTGATACCAAGACAGAATATATCTAAAGTCAAGGATAGTTTCATTCAGTCAAACCCAGAATCGTAAATGAAGGAGCACTGAAATGCAAAATGTGACCTACCATCTGCAGTGAAACAGTTAAATCCTTCCTCACCTCTTCCATCTTTCAAATGCAGCCTTGTAGAAATAGAATCCGGGTGAAGTTGCTGAAGTGTTCTCTGGTAGGTCTGTATAATTGCCCTAGCAACCTCTAGAGGAAATGACACAATTCTGTAGAAGGTTGGGTACCTAAGCTCTCTGCTTTGGATCTGGAGGGCTGATTCTTACCGATAATTCTGATTTTAAGCCAAACCAGATTCATCCCCTAACCCAGTGATGATGAACTTTTTAGAGACGGAGTGCCCAAACTATAGCACTAAACCCACTCACTTATCACAGAGCGCCAACACTGCATTTTAAACCTGAATACTGAGATTTTACTTTAAAAAAAAAAAACCTCATACACTTGGCTCACGTGCCAGCAAAGAATGTTTTCCATGCCCGATGCCCCAGGCCTGCCATAGGTTCGCCATCACTGCCCTAACCCCTTTCCCTCAATCACAAACAAGAAAGGAGAAGCAGGGATGGGGGAGGTAGGAAAACAGTTATTTACTGTATAAAACTTAGTTTCCTAGAATACGTAGACTACGATTCAAATTTAAATATTTAAATTACATCATATGCAACTTTTGACATAGTTATTTGCAGAATGAGGCAGACCCGTACTGGAAATACCAAATTTAAAAACGTCAAAGGAAAAAATGTTTTCTTCTGGGTGGGCCTTAATTGCCTTCTTTATCCCTCATTGCAAATATATTTTTATGCTGGGTAACATTTCCAAAACAGGAGTGTTTTTTCTGCTGTTGAGACAAACAAGTTTGCTTTCAAAGCCACAGAAATGCCCAACTGTTAGAAAAAAATGTTTTTCTCTGGCCTCTTGCCTGTCTTATTTCCTTATAGCCTTGCCCATTGGCCCCTTTCTCTAAGAGGGCCCCTGGGGCTGTCTGTCTGGTGGAACTGATTGTAAAACTATTTTGTGCTTAAGAACTAGTTTCTCCAGCATCGCACAGACCACCCACAACATGCCCAATCTTGGCAAATGTCTACTGGTTTCCCCAGTGTTTGATGAACTGTACACTGAGTAACTGACCTGAGTTTCTGCGTCTCCGTTTGAGAACAGATGAGGGTAAAGATGTCTCTCTCTTGCCCTCCCTCCCTTTCTGATGAGCCAAGGAGGAAAACCTCTTACCAAAAATCTATGCAAAATTCATCTTGCTCGTTTGTGTTCTCGGAAGGGGGTGGGTGGGATACGGTAACTAAGCAAACTGGATGATACAACACTTGCAGAAGCATTTAAAGGGTGCACAGAGAAAAAATATTTGCTAGAAGCGCCCTGGAAAGCCGGACCCCTGGGCAGTTGGCCCCAAGGCCTCCCGGGGTAGGATCCGCCTCCTACACCGCGGGCAGGGTTCAGTATCCCGGAGTAGGGTGGACAAAGGCCAAAGGAGGCAGAAGCTCCTGGAGAACAGGCCACAGTTTTGTCTCAGCCTGCTGTATGCTCCTCTCAGGCACCTTCCATCACACGCTAGGTGCTCAGTAAATGTGGACTCAAGCGGCCCCTCCCTCCGCCCCGTCTCGAGGCGAAGTACGGGATGCGCGGGTTGATTCTGACCCACCATCCCCTCACGCTGGCTAAGGCAGTCCGGCCTCGGCTAACGCCCAGCAGCTAGAGAACCAGCCCGAAGGCGAGCTGCAGGAGGAGCGCCTGGGAGCTCTGGGAGAGCCGCAGAGCCCGCGCAGGCGGGGAGCGGGGGCGCCCACCTGACCACCGCACGGGCTGCGCAACCCCGCACTCCCATTGAGCAGGAGGCCCCCGCGGGCGGGGTGGGGCGGGGTGGGGCCCGCAGCGCGCGCCGGCGCTCACGCCACGCCCCCAGGCTCCAGGCCACACCTTCCAGGCCATAGGCTCCGCCCCTGGCCCTGGCACCGTCCGCCCGCTCCCCGCCCGCGCCTAACGCAGGCTAGGAGGGAGCAAGGTGGGGGGAGACCACGCCGCGTGAGCGCGTGCGCACCACAGGCAGCTGACGCGGGCCCCAGTGCGCGCGCCGCCCCGTCTCCGCCCGGCCTGTCCCGGGGGCCCGGCGCGCGGACCTGCTGACGTCAGCGGGCGGCCCGCGGAGCCGGGTGCACTGAGCCGCTGGCGCACTCCCGCGCTGCGCTCGCCCCCTCCCGAGTCCGGGCGCCAGCGTGCGCGCGCCTTCGTTCGCTCGTTCGCTGTCCCTTCATTTTTCCTCCTCCCTCCCTGCCTCGGTCTCTCTCTCTCTGTCCCTCCCTCTCTCTCTCTCCCTCGAGCTCCCCGCCAGCCGCCGCTCCCTCACGCTCCCCCAATCTCGGAAAGGCTCTGCCGAGCGATGCAAGCTGTGGGAGACAGCGACACCGCCTTCTGCTAGAGCCCTGCCCCCCGGCCCGGCCCCCTGCCCAGCCCTGCCCAGAGCGCGGGGGTCGGCGAAGGCGCAGGGGACGCACCGACGGCGGAGCCCCGGCGATGCACATGCAATAGCAGCACCCCCTAACTCACGCCCTCCACACCCCGCGCCGCCGCCGCCGCCGCCGCCTCCGCCTCCTCCTCCGCCTCCTCCGGCAGCCGAGGCAGAAGGACCCACCCTGCCCCCACCCCACCCTCCGCCGGCTCCGGCTGCGGATCCAGCCTCGACTCTTATTTTATTTATTTTGGGTCGTGCACTAGCCTCGGTGCCTGCATCCCGCGCCTCCTCGGCCCTCGGGCGCCTCCTCCCTCGGCTCGGGAGCCTCAGACCCCGGCCACCCTCGCCTCCGCACCCCCAGACCCCTGCCGGCTGCCGCGAGTCTCCGCTGCTGGAATCTTGATAGCGGCTCTCTTTTGGGGGGTCTCCGGTTTTTCGGCATTTTTGTTCCCACCCAAGAAGAGGATAACGTGATTTTTCCCCCTTTGAGCCCAGGCTCTGCTCTCTGGGGGGGTGGGGGGCGCGCCGAGCCGGGGAGCCGAGCCAGCCGAGTCCTGCGGGCTGTGGCAGGGAAGGGGCCACCACCATGGGATGTACTCTGAGCGCAGAGGAGAGAGCCGCCCTCGAGCGGAGCAAGGCGATTGAGAAAAACCTCAAAGAGGATGGCATCAGCGCCGCCAAAGATGTGAAATTACTCCTGCTGGGTAAGAAATGCTGCTACCTCCCCCATTCTCTGACCCCGGCCACAGCGCAGCCCCTGCCACCCGCTCCCCCACCCCACTTGCGCCCTGGGAGACCTGGTTCCTGAGTTGGCACCACCATGTGCCCAGGACCGCTCACCCCCTCGCATGCCTTAAGCCGCCCCCTCCCCGTTCCCCTAAACTGACACTTACCAGTTTTTTCCCCCTGTCTGTGTCCCAACAGGGGCCGGAGAATCAGGAAAAAGCACCATTGTGAAGCAGATGAAGTAAGTCCCTGTAGCCCCGGGGTTTGTACTTTTATTAAGAATAATTTTTAAAATCGTTTTTATTACCTTGCTCACTCCACATTGCTCTCCCAGGCCTGGCTTTTAATTCGTGTACACACACACACACACACACACACACACACACACACAGACCTGGCATTGAGTCCCCTCCCCCACTCCCTACGTTGGCTCTGGGTCCTCCACCCCAACTCCTGGTGTGGGTGGTTTTGGGGGAGGGAAGGGGAGCGCCTGTAGTTGTATGAATGACAGTGTCCGCCATATTGATCAGAACATCACACTATTGGTATGGTTATGATCATTACTCTTGCTCGTGGAGTATTCCTTGTGTTTCGCTGCCTCCATTTCTGTCTCTAATTCTGTCTCTGTATCGCCTCTTCCTTCCGTGCTCTCCACCGCATCTATAATCCCACGTCCCCCTGCTCTGCTCCCAGGGCAGTGATTTTGAACTTGCCTAAAACATGGAGGGGACCCAGCCCTAAACTGGGGTGGAGGATCAAGAGTCTGCTGTTCATGTATTTGGTGCTGAATTGGAGGCTGTGGTTTTTACTACCCACCCACCCCCGCCAGGGTTAGGGGAGGGGGCGTGTGCTAAGGGAAGGGGTGGGTTTCCAAGCGGATGTGATAGGCACAGCTGTATCCGAACCCGAGATAGAAAGGGAAGCTGGCTGTGAGGCTGAATGCCCGCCCCTTGCTGCCCCTGGCCCCTGTGCTCCCCCGCCCTCGCAGCGTTTGCTCGCCTGATACGGACAGTTTTCCTTCGCTTGCTGGCCTTTATCAGTGCATGTATTTACTTTCTGCATAGGCCGTATAATCTGTGTAATCTACCCACAATGCGGATTTCGGGCCCCACTTGCCAGCCGCCCCCTTCTGCCTTAGATATCAGTTTCCCCTCCTAATTAACTGGGGGTGGATTTGAGTGATGGTTGAAAATTAAAACAAAATGGGATATTCCTTCCTTTCCACACTTTCTCAATAGGGAGCCTCGCCCCTCCTTCCCGCTTGCAGGCTCGCTTCTTGTCCCATCCACTCGGCAGCTCCTGGCGAGCGCAAAGGCAGCTTTGCTTGGGGAGGGGGTGGCCGGTTTGGGAGGGGTCTGCGCCCTCCGGGCCTCGAAGCCCTGCCGCTTCCGTTGACCTGTCAGTTCGGGACGGAGGAGTTCGTTAAGACCGTTTAGCGAGGATTCCACGTCGCTTTGCTGTGACACCTTCGTGCACACACAAGCTCCTAATTAGAGGCTGCTGTGCAGTAAACAAAAATGATTATTTTTCAGCTTGACAGAATAGCCGAAGTAATTGCATCCCATAGGAAAACAGTGGAAAATAAAAACCCCTTTCGTGGGAAGGTGGGTGGGAGAGGAAGCATGCTTGAGGTTTCAGAACCAAGAAGCAAAAAATCTTGCATGTGTAACAGGCATGACAAGCGGGTTCCAGGCGGCGCCATGATGGTAGGGAGTAGCGGCTCCGAGACAGTTTCCCCCATCTGCTTGACGTGTTCTTGTTTTTGTTCGAGAGCTCCCTGGGGCTTTCTTCATAGAGGCCCCTCGGCTTGCCGCACCCTTCTGAGCCACGGGTAACCTGGCCTGGGGCTTCTCTGGAGCTTGTGCAACCCAAAAGGATGGGGAGGCGGGGCCTGGGGAATTGCTCTTTGCAACAAGGTTCATATTGATTTCTGCCAGGAGCCTCTCAGGTCGGGCAGTCCAGCCCGCGCCACCGCTTTCTCCCTAAAGGGAATGTTTCAAAAGTTCAAAAGTCTGTATTCTGCAGTCGCAGCCTGCGAACTCGGTAGAAACCCCAGACTCCGGAGCTGGGTGAGGTTTCAGGCGTTGTGAGTGGTGGACAGCGCCCAGCGGAGGCCGGAAAAGTCTGTGGGGTTCAGCTAGGTGGTGCTCGGCTAGGCTCGGCGCGGCCTGGGCGCGGGGCTCGGAGGGACTCGGGATTGTTCGGAACCGAGTCGGGCCCGCCGCCGAGAGGGCCGAAGTCATTCGGAAACCCTCGAAGGAAGGGAGAGAGAGAGGAAGGTAGGAGGGAGGCAACTATGGCCTGCAAATTAACTTTCCCACCGCCACAGCCACCCGTTACCTGCTTTTCCTGAACATGACCCATAAATTAGGTTGATTTAATAAGAAGTTTAAAAATATACACTGGGTCCCCCAAAGGGTACCTTGCCTTTTTTTATTCAAAGAGAGCTCTGCTCTCTGAGGAGCTAGGTGTGCCACTTTAGAATGAAAATTCCTGATTATCTACTGGGGCAAGAAATCTTAAATGAAGGCCGTATGTAGACTTTCTGGGGAAAGTCCTTTTTGTCTTGTATTTGGTTACACAGTGTTTGATACTCGAGACCATTAACTTAGAAATCAGATCAGTTCCTCCCTTTTTGTTACACTTCCCCCTTTCCTCAGTCCCACTGGACCTTTGGAGGGAAAAATATTAGGCAAAACAGATTTTGTAGTTTAAAAACTAGTTCTATTTTGAAAGAAAGCACAGTACCCCAACTCTCTTTAGGAAATAGGCTGGTTTTCTCAAATCGTTGGTCAGAAAAGGGTGTCTGGCCAATGTAAATTTTGCCATGAGGGACCCTAGCAACCTACCCTCATGAAGCACTGATGAATGGCAGCTTTTCCTGTGAGCCCTCCAGTATGGTTTAAAATAAATCAGACCAGGGCTTTTTGCCAAGCTGGATACAGGACTTGTTTTATTAACCACAAAGTGAAGGATTGGTGTCACTGTATCCTAATGACAAATTCTTTTGAGTCCTCATTTGCAGACATGGTTTTTAGGATCACTACTTCACTAAGAGTCACTTTGAGTCAGGAGCATGTTATTTTCTGGATGGAGCTGGCCCCAAAAATCTTGGTAGCATTTAGAGGAAGCAGTTTTCTACTTTTCTCTGCAATATGATTGGCAACCAACCTATCAGGCCATATGTATGAGTGAATTAGGATGCTGTGTTGTTTCACCTGGCCAGATGAAATTAGATAGTCCTCTATGAGTGACATCCTATGAGAACCCAGTGATTTCCTAACGGGACTTGATTAGTAGCACAGCCTATTTGGTTGAGAGGAAGAATATCAATATTCAGACACTGCTGAACGTTTACCGTTTCTAGAAGAGCAAAGAGTCATTCCATTGAGGCTGTATTCTTATCCGCGTTGTAGAGTGCTGATTAGAAGAAGGAATAGGCTTCCATATACGTCTGGTCTGTAGAAATTGAAGTTAAATGATAAAGGACCAGCTGGCAGATGCTGCTTAGAACAGTGTAAACATCCTCATCAGCCCAGGAGCATTGCATAGACCTGGCCTTTGAAATTTTTCGGCTTGATACATGTTAAAGGGGAAACTTCTTCAGAGATGCCACAGATTAGATTGTACTGAGAAACTTGATTCTCAACACTTTTTTAAAAGTTAATTTCTCTTGAACATAGCTTTCTGTGGTTTTTTCCCTTTGTACATGTGATTGTGAATTAGTGTTTGGGAGCTTTGTGTTGGCCAATCTGAAACATTTCAGTGCTGAGAAATAAATAGTGATGGTTGAGATCACAGAAATATAATTTTACACATACTGCGAGTAATCATGGACTGTTTTTTGTGTGCAGCATTTTTAATAATTTTGCTTGTTTTCGGGGATTGTAACCTCACCTTTTATGCAGCCTCATCATTTTGCACTCAATCCGTTGGACTCTTAGTTATTCAGACTAACAGAACTTTTAAGGAAGTGTCATTTTTATTGAATTGCCACAGTCTTAAAGGAAATCTTTTAAAGAATTACATTTTACAAAGTGTAGAATCAATAGACCATCACTTTAGCTGACTTCCCAGTTCAGAACAAATAGTTGGAACTGCTCGGACTGTGTATGTAATGAAAATACCAAATGAACTATGGAGTTTTCCTGGGAAGGTACCACACTTACCCTCATTTGAGGTCCTGAGTTTACTGGGATGTTGAGTTCAGGTTGTCTTTGGAACATTAAAAAGGTTTTGTTTTACAAAGACAGAACTCAAAGGTGACAGCAAGGCATTGCTTGCTCACTGGGAAACTTAACCTAAATAGACACAGTAAAATGGAGTGTTTCCGACATGCATTCATTTCCAAGGCACCTGCTCAGTGCTTTTTTAATACAAACTTAAGGCTTTGCCTGATGACGACATCACTGCTCATCCAAGTGTATGGCAAAAGGGTGTTTGCCATACATGCCTAAAGGATCCTATGTTGTGGTTGCATTCCACTGACAGCTACCCTTCTGGATTTGTGGGCTTATTTTTTCTGCATTCGTCATGTTGACTGCATTGCCTGCCTCCCTTCCTTCTGTCTCCATGTTTATTCAAATGGCTGCACCTTGCTCTCTGGAGACTGGGAGCCCGAACAGAATGTTGGATCTAGTAGCAGATGAGTTCTTCTTTGATGATGGATGGGACTCTCTCCCTCCCTACTGTTCAATGAGCTGTAAATACCAGCAGACCTTCCTGCTAGAAGAGTAGCAAACAGTCCACCTGATCTCCTCATAAATCAGCTATGGAATTCCTGAACTTCAGTTACTTATTGGATTCTGAAATGGAACCTGTATGCTTGTGGGAAAGGTTGTTCCCAGTTAGGTTGTTAAATGAGTGAAGCTTCATGTGGATTGATGTGGGTGAATAGGAATCCAGGATTTCTTTTGTGTGTGTGGAGTGGATGAGATGTACAGTGCCCAGAACCAGTGCCATAATTTTGTTTTGTTTCAGCATGTGTCACTCCCAGATGATATTGTACTTCTTAGAGTGCCATACCTTTAAGAAACAGGACAAGATCACTCATGTTTTTTAGCGGCTCACAGCACCTTATCTCTGTTAACACTGGAGATTTAATATGAGTAGGATAAGGTCCTCTTTTCTGACATGTGCTTCAGCCCATCTGGCTACGGGAACTTTGTCTCCCAGGATGTGTTCTTTTTCGAGCCTTAAGCCAGATAGGCCGTTATTGCGAGAGCCCATCTTGATCTGAAA